TTGTCAATCGTGACTTTCATGTTTCCCTTAGTCACGATATTATTCGTCATGATAATTATTTTGCATTCCATCCGCCCCCCCCCTCTCGCCCCTCACCATTCTATATATCTATCCATGTATCTATTTTCATTTCATTTTAACTGTTTATTTTCGTTTTATCATGTATTTACTTATTCACGGAACAGCATTTATTATTTGTGTACTTTCACCATCATATTTATGAAATATATTCACTTTCAGTTCTTCTTTCAATATTTATACAACCATATTCTTCATTAATTTAAATTTACTTTTTTATTCACATCCGCATTATAAATCACAACTAAAGAAATGCAACAAACATACAACATTAATTATTTAAAGTACTCTTTAAGACCTGGAGCTTTTGTATTTAAGGTAAAAAATCACGGCACCACTTTAAAAAAATAACAAATTTTTCAATATCATGTAGCTCTGAAATACGTAAAAAATTCGGGACAAATTCACAATATTTTCAAAGTTAGAACGGCTCTTTTGTATATGCGCACTATACTTTACTAATTCGAATAGAGCAAAAACAAAACAAAAACATCAAAAAGGGTATTTTGGCGATAGTACATTTTTTAAATACAGCGGGTTGGTGTTTCTACAATTAATTCGCAAACATATTAAATGAGCTTTTTAATTAGATTATCTTCAATTGATCCAACTATTCTTTATCATATGTAGATTTGCATCTATTTTGTGTCATTTTAATAATGAATAATTTCATGGTATTACACCTTATAGAAAGTTTCTTTTCAATATTTTTTTTTATTATACGTTTTTCCATACTTTTTAGAAAATATTCGAGAAGCAAGCAATTTAAGCACAAAAGTTTAATAAGTAATGAATAAAAACTTGTAAGTGACTGTGAAAACGTAAGGAGTTTAATATATAGAAAGTCCTTAGCAGTCGTTCCTATTCACGCATAAAACATTGTTATTTTCAAAAAAATAGTCGATCTATTAATACTATATTCAAGTCAATAATATTCAAGAAATTATCTTATATTTTGTTGATTTTTATTAAATAATAACAATAACAAAATTGTTTTTATTAGAATATATATATATATATGTGCGTGTGTGCGCGTGTGTGGATTTGAATTACTGAATTTTTACAGAAAATTATAATTACAAAATTATACTTTAAATATTTGGATATTAAATAAAAATATTCTTACAATGTTGTTTTTTTTTTTTTTTTTTTTTTTTTGAATATTTACAAAATAAAAGCAAAATTGAATGAAATAATATAGAAGTATTAACTTAACTATTTAAAAATGTTTTCGAGATATAAGTAAATTGTTACAAAGCTCATTCTTCCAATTAAAATTTGGAGTGCAGTTGTTTATCAATACTCATTAATAACTATTATACAATACTATAATTTTAATAAATTTATATAAATTCATATTTTAATTGTAAAAATTTCAAATAATAATTCATCCAATCGACAATAATTGGATTGACGTTGGATTCTATAGAGAAAAGTATACATATTTCGTAACGAATAACAATTGAAAAAAGAAAAAATCAAATAATAGCAACGACAATGCCTTAATGTGTACCTTCGTTCTCTCTTGTGTCGGTCCAACAATTTTTTTAAGTTACTCATCCAAGGAGTATGGATCAGCAGTGCAGAGTCCGTCGTTTATATAATGTAAATTAATTAACGAAAGAAAATAGTTTGATCGGTTTGCTCTCCAGAGACATCAAAATATCTTGAATAATTGAGCGGAGAGGGAGTCGGGAGCGGGGGTGGGGCGAACTCGACAATAAGTGTCATTGCAGCAAAACCGCAAGATGCATTATTTATAGGGAAAGGCCGCGAACGACTGGTAATCCGTGTGAGTGTCGAGATTCGACGATCGACGCGACGCTAATTGCGAGGAAGTCTCCTCCCGAAGATGCTGCAAGCATCCCTAAGGAAGCCTTCTATAATTGTTGCTATTGTCTCGGTGGCTCACTCATGCACATTGTCGCGTCTCCTCGAGTGCCGCGAGCGTCATTAGTTATTGGCCTTGAGAGCTTCGAGCTGATGGTCTAGGAATAAAACGTATACGCTTGCTGAAAACGATTTCAAGAAAGTTCGGTTGCGAAATCAGTATTACCAGTATTTCTAATCGACGCAGGGATTTAGGATTAACCTTTGATTTAATTATTCGACCCTCAAGTTTTTGCATTACAATGTTAGCGAAAAATCGTTGTGAAAAGCCTAGCTTTTATAGAGCTTTATGTTGTGCTTACGTCAATATTACATTTAAATCCGATGCGACTGATATGCGAACGATGCCTAATGCATTGTTTATACATTATATTATTCTTACGAAAATTTATTACCAAACAAATGATATATTTAATTATTTTACACATGCTCGCAGGGAGCAAAGGATATACGAGGACCGAACGTGTTAAGTCATATCCTATTACAATTAAATATAAACTTATACAGGCCCATACAGCTTGATATATGGCATGCGATTGTGCAACCTGAGAAATTCTAAATTATGCAAAGAATCATATTTCTCTTTCACATAATGGTGATTATAAATTTGTAATATTTTTTATCGTTGATCATACTATAATTCTTATGCATTATCCCATCGGGTAGCATAGAGTTTATTTAGATTTTCAGATATTTGTCATTCACGCGTTTCACTTACAGTCTTGTCGTTATATGAATTCACTTGAATTGAATTATTTAGCGCTTCAAAAAGTCAAAAAAAAAAAAAAAAAACAAAAAAATAAGAAAAAAGAATGAAGAAGGCTCAAAAATATTTAAACGTAATATTTTTTCTCTGTGTTCTCTAAACGAATTACACGATAGAACTTGAAATAGGCATTATATTTCCTACTTAATAAAACATTTAATTGGGCACTTAAATATCCAATGCAAATTTTAATCTTAAAAAATCTTACATTATTATTAATTTTCATTTTTTTTTCTTCTTTTTTTATTAATAATTTACAAATAACATCTCGGCCCTCCTATGGCTGATATTTTTATTGCTAATCGTTATTATTATTATCGTACTCAAGTACCGTGTTCAAGAATATTTAATAAAAATGTCCGAATAGAGGCGCATTGTTTATGCGCATAAGTATTATTAAAATAGCCAGCCGGTAATAATTTGATTTTATCGAACGATTGGAAAATGGACTCCAATATCCTAATGCATTTGAAAAGATGATAATTGTCGTGCAGCGCTCGACCTATCCGAAAGCTTTATGTATATTGTTTATTTTGTTTGTTTGTTTGTTTGTTTTTTTGTTTGTTTGTTTTTTGTTTGTTTGTTTTTTTGTTTGTTTGTTTTTTTGTTTGTTTGTTTTTTTTTGTTTGTATAATTTCTAACAAATTATTTACGATAAAATTATCTCAACGACCGCTGCGCCAGATATGCGCGTAACGGAGAAGTGCGCGCTCGTGTGCTTACACACTGTTAGGCGAGCCTCGGAGAAAAGCCATTAAATCCTTGCGAGCGAATACAACACCACAAGAAAGTAATAAACCAATTTCAATATAGTCAGTGGATACAAGTAAGGGGAGAGAAACAGCACACAAAGTACGGTCCTCAAGACACAGTGATTACCTTCACCCAACGCTATGTCTCAATCAATTTGCCTGGCCTTTCAAGACCTAAGATCTAGCATCGCTCTCTCGTTCCACGCTCCCTCTCGCTTGCAAAGCAATCAAACCTACGACCTTAAGTGCGAATAAATAACAGCAAGATACCGATGAGCATTATTATTTTGGCATTTGCACCTGTAACCCCTGGTGAAATTATATTTCGAACCTTATGGCGTAATTCCCTGTTTTTGCGCCTTGAAAGAAACTCGCGCGATCCCATTGGGGAGTAGCTGCAATGATAATAATAATCCGAGGCTTGAAAAAGCCTAGGAGCCGCGGTAACATTGCGAGCTTACGTTAACGAGTTTCAAGACACATCGCAGAGTTATACTCGTCTACGTGTACACATGGATTATTATTACTAGTATTTATGTATTATATACGTCGGTGCACGCTCATACGTGACAATGATGAAGACGGAGGAGGGCAAAGCCACGGCACAGACCGGTCGAGTACGCGGTTAAAACGCCACCAGAACGTTCACGAACACGTACGACAATTTAGTACGTGGGCAGTGACCACCTGGAGGTTAACATCTTTTGTCTCGAGGTTTTACCGGCTGTGCACTTCATTTCGTACGTAGTGCGCGACAGGCTGGTCATCTCGGCCGAATCTATTTATAGGAGCAGGAAGACGATTATTATATACGCTGCTAGGAGAATCCTGTATTCTCTCGTGCCACGGGGTTATTCGTCTTCCATTATCGCCATTTTTATCTTGGCGAAAGCTCGGGCGAGTTTGTAAATAATGCTCTCGATAAGATGTCGTGGAGAGTACGTGAGTGTCGATGGAGACCATGTATAAATGAAATTTATTATTGTTGAGTCGAGAAAGCGTGATAGGGCGACTGATACTGATAGACAATTTTAACAATGCACACGCGCATTTGGTAATACGAGCGAAGAGGCTTTTGATATTGTTGGTGAAGAAGCAATCACCTTAGCTACTGCCAAGTGTCGTTAATAATTCAATACGTTATTAAACAAATTAGTCAAATCAGCTTATAGTTAATATTAATTAAAAAAAAAAGAAGAAGAAAAGAAAAAAGGAAAAAAGAAGACGAAGAGAACTTCAAACCATAAAGTTTAAATCGTCGGAATCCTTAAAGTGATTTTTCCCTTAACTTATCATTCATCGCTTCCTTACGCGCAGCAAATTAACCAATTATGAATTCGACTGGTGTAACGTCGTAACATTCGCAATATAATGACCGTAGCAAGAGTTTGGAGATATAAATTACCTTTTGGTCATGTGATGTGCATAGCCTTTCACTGATTAATCGAGCTTGTTTACGAAGAGAAAAAATAATTACGAAATAATCGGGACAGCCGAGTTACTAGTTACTCCCTCCAGATGCTTTATGCATATGGCGGAAAGGTAAGCAGTTGGTGAATTTTGTAATACGAGTCCAAGCCTTAATAATTTCGCTATGTTCAACTGGATTTTTATGGTCTTGATTGTGATCGAACGACAAATTGCTCTTTATATCAGGTGGGGGAGGGTTTTTGTTCCACGCTCCTGTTCTACGATACGGGAGAGTCGAAAAGTTCATTGACATTTATTATGCAAATTGTTAATGTCGGATATACGTAAAAGCACCTCATTGATTTATGTAATGTGAAAGTGAATATTTATTATTTATATCATCATTTATAAGAGATTTAGAAACAAAAAAATAAAGTCGTATTTAAGACAATAAAATAACTGGATTTTATCCTTAGATTAAAAAAATGTTATTTTAAACGTAATATTTGTAAGATTCAGCTAACCTCAAATTGTAATGAACGCGCTCTTAATAACTCAGTTGAATATAATTGAAATATATCGATAAGGTTATTATATATCGATAAATTATGAATATCGTTTAAATATCTTTTCTTAATTGAGAAATTTCAGTTTATCCCTGGAAGTACAGAATGATTTTCAAATGGTCAAATAATGGAATATCCGTTCACTCTAGGCATATAAAAAAAAAAAGTTACGTGGTACCAATCGAGGTTTCATCAAGTTTTCAAAATTATGAAGAAGAATCACGAAACTGTAGACCAAAAATAGTGTCAAACTAATAACATTGCCCGTATGAATTTTATCAATCACGTAGGGCAGACGTGCTAAGACTATTATTCTGCATGCAATTCCAATAATTCATTATCTTTCGTTTGGAATATTTTTTAAGTCAATTTAAAGCAATAAAAAAAAAAAAAAAAAAAAAAAAAAAAATTGCAGCGTACGCTTAAAATAAGATCAATGTTTCTTGGCAATAAAATTAAATTAAAATAAAAATTAGTCTGCGTATCATTTTATAAATTATTATAAAAATGATATGTTAATGATAGCATTCCTTCTTATTGATATGTATAGATAGTAAATAATATTAAACTATTAATTCGTCACAGATAATGTAACGATGTTTAAAAATTTATACTGACTTTCATGAATAATAAATATTATGTAGAAAATTTATCACCCATATTATTTGCTAAAAAATTATTGCAATTTTCAATATTATATGTATATTATACTTGAGGCTATTTTATCATAAGCTATGTCAATTTACATAAGATTCATATATTCATTTACCACTTACGTATATGTATTTCAATACACGTAAATTCATCTTCATTTTTAAATAATATTATTTAATAATTTTACTTCATCAGTTTGTATATTCAAATAACGGAAATATGCGCGTGCGCAGAAAAATATAAGAAATTGACGAAAATGCCAATGTTAAAAGTTATTTTATAATATGTATTATGCAATAAATCACGATTTCATTTATACGAATGAAAAGATTTCTGTCCTATATACATATTTTTTATTTTTTTATGTCAAAGTGTATTATTATTATTATCATTTCATTCCCTATTAACAAAGTATTTTGGACATAAAGGTTTTCTTAAATTTAATATATTTTCAATGCAATTCTTAATATTGAATAATTCTTTTTAACATTACCGACGCGACACTAATAAATTCTCTATAAAATTCATAAATATACGATGCTGTTGTCTAAAAAGCTAAAGGAAAGAATTGTAAAATTAAGAATGTTCAACGATTACAATTTAAATCTAATATGAAATTGAGGAATTATTTTAAATTTCACTCTTAAACGCCTGAGCAAAACTTTCAGCCATTAATAATAACAAGCACGGAATGGCAAAATTAGTATGTTCGTTGCAATGAAACCTCGATATTAATGATCATTCGTCCTTACGTTGATCCTAGCATTAAACGCACGCGGCAGTAGAAAATGGAAATACACCCGTGAATTGATACTTGTCCGGTAATTTCACAATCGCAAAATTTAACACTCGGACTATTCCAACATGGTGAGGGTAGGGGCGGGGAGGGGGGGGATAAGTGACGAAGAGAGGTGTAGCCGAGACTGACCGAGAATCGCGTGATCTCGGGAATAATTCGCATACTACTCGCAGAAGGCATAATGAGTCGACGATACAAGCAATTTCTCGTCCTTATTTCCAGCAGACAGGCATTTTTCTTTTTCCTCGGCTCTCTTGATAAGCAGAGTCACGAGCGTCGGCCCTCGGGGCTCTCTGTTATTCAAACACTCTAGGCATATAGAGAGAGAGAGAGAGAGAAAGAGAGAGAGAGAGAGAGAGAGAGAGACCCCGTGTCTCCCTTCCGGCGCCTTCCGCATACACTCGTCCACATCCCCACCCCACCCTCTACGCGCATTCCACCTTCCATTTTTCTCCCGTGCGACGACACTTACGAGGAGACTCTGGCGATTGGCAGCCGCGTCCACGGACCTTACAGCACGCGTGACGCTAATTAAATTTTTTCCCATTCGGGGCGATTTACTTTTTTGCGATGGCGTCGTGGAAAAATGCCAACCTTGGCACGAAATATTCCATTAGAAAGGAATCCGGTTAAACATGAGACGTTTGAGCGCTCGATGATTTTGCGACGCCACGCGGCCATTACGTCTGCCCATCTCGGCAACTTCCATGCACTGCCGGCCTAATTAATCAAAAGTGAAATGTTCAGAGTGGTCATAATACCAAATACCGAAATGTAATTATGCTGGATTAGAAATAATCGATAGCGATCGTGGGATAAGCGGGTCGAGCCACCAAGTCCCGATTCGGAAGCGCTGAAAACGCGGATCTAGCGAGCTCACGCGAAGCGTAAGAACAAGCGAATTACATCAAAAAGCGATTAGCACAAGAAAAAGCTATAAGCGCGCAATTCAGCAGTCGAGTGTCGCGTTATTAAAGGTCCTTTGGGCTGCGTAAGAGTCGAATGGCCTTGGTCGCGGCAGGTAAGAAAACAGCCGTGGCCGTGTAACGAGGGAGGGGCATAGGAGGAAGCAGATCTACGATTTCCTCGTCTGGCATCGTTTTCATCAGCCAAAATAAATAATTCATAGCTCGAAGCCTCTTAACGAGGATCCTAAAATAAAAGTGTTCCAGGAGCCGAGGGCCGATATCGAATTAACTATCGGTAGCGCGAAACTTCCTCGACGGGCTGTACCAGCCACCCTCTCTCTCTCTCTCTCTCTCTCTCTCTCTCTCTCTCTCTCTCTCTCTCTCTCTCTCTCTCTCTCAATCTCAATCTCAATCTCTCTCTCTCTCAATCTCTCCCTCTCCCTCTCAATCTCCAACCCCTGATTTACATTAAATAACTATAGTGGTAAACGCGAGGTTAGTTACCGGGGGTCTGCAGCAGCCGCCGTTCCCTCCCTCCTCATATCGCTTGCGCCTCCCCGTGATCCATCAAGGCCATCGCAAGCGTAAACATCCCCGTCACCCGTCTCCCGCACACTAATCTGCCAGTCAGCCGTTGTGATTTCGACTCTAACCAATTTTGACGTACTCCCGCGCCCGAACATTTGGTCTTCATAGTGGCCAAGAGGGCTCGCTGGGCCGACAGGTTCCATCGTTCCGATTAAATCTACTTGATCGCGAGATTCGCGCCTTTCGACACGTCACTCGGACGACGTCGATGACGAGTGAGCTCCCTTCGGCCACCCTAAGCTTCCGATCAAATCTGTCGTGTGAACGTGAACGTTCGGCTCAACGGCCGAGTCGCTCGCTTCTTACGAACTCAGCTTTCTCCGGCGATAAATTAATGCCAAGATGCGTGGGTGAATGATAAGCCGTACGGGATTAACGCTGTTTTAATGCGTGCAAAAAGCACTGGGACTGCGATTATGCAGTGGTGGTACGTGTCAGTGCAAACAATCGCCCAAGACATTCTGGTTTAACCAATTGTGTCCACAACAATGATTAATAATCATCTCGTCTACTTAGGATTATATAATTGGACCCAGCTAACGTAGTCGTGATATTCCCAGCTTAATTAACGAAATATCTATATATGCTGAAGATAAATTGGATTGACTTTGTCGTTATTAGTACACTAGCTGATACGGCATTGTCGATCACATTTCCATTTACTTTGACATTTTAAAAGATAATGCAATTTCTTTTAGGCGAGTTACGATACGATTATACTTCTCGGCATATTATTATTTTAAACTATTTTCTAATTTATTACAAACGAATATTCGTAATTATACGGCCATCTGCCTATCGTTATCATTGCCGTTGTCGTTATTCTCGTTGTTGTCATTATTATCGTCGTCATCTTCGTCGTCAATTATACCATTCGTTCGAACATCTTATATTAACGGCGCAACTCTATTTTATTAAAAATTTACATTCCTTATCCAACGACGCATAAATACTCTCGAAGCTATGTTTATAAGATTGGATTTTTTGATTGAATATTATCCTATTAGTATTCTCTATCCTTCTTTCCAAATTAAAATTGATTAGAATTCAATAGCTGTATTTACAAAGCCGGCATACTTAAATATAAATAGCGATTTGTTTATAGAAGCCATTACCATAAATATTGGACAAATATTCCTGGTGAAAGAAAGAAAGAAAGAATGACAGAAATATTCCTCCCTATTAAATATCTTCCCATACATTGAAATTTGATCCTTTTTTTTTTTTTTTTTTTTTTTATAACCGTAAATGGCTCGTACACTACGATTGGCTTGCATAGGTTTGTTGAATTTTTCAAAACTATTATTAGAGTTTATGCTTCCTCTCCTTGTCCCACATCATCGACAATGCTATATAATCCACGAATCGTCGATGCTCCATAAAATTCATTAAAAACTGTCCTATATATTGTCTACAAATATTAATGTACAAACGTACAGATGTAATATGGAATTCGTCCGAGCTCGAATGATATCGGCAAATTCCAATTTGCCCGGTCGACGGTTCCTTGGCACGGAACTCCGCTTAATCTACCCATCGCTCTCCTCCCTAGGTAATTTAGGTGTGTATGCCTGGACCGTAGTCGATGAAGGCGCATCTCACATGCCAATGCAAACTGGATGATCGATGCAATTCCAACTAGGCCTTTGCCATTCTGACATAGCTCTCTTGGAAATAAGCCGACGGATCTATTTGTATTCTTGCAATCGAGCGCATAATCGAGTGTGCGGGAGGTCGATCGACGCGCCTCACCTCGATCCCTATGCGACATTTCCCAACGAATGACAAACAACGAAACATTACAGTATTTGTGATACAGTCGTACCACCTTAATGTCCTATCTCTATGCGGTAATTTTGTGCGTAAGTGACGAAAGATATTTAACGATCCGGAAACATTGTCACGCACACCACTCATAAACTTATCTGCGATTATACGAATGAAGTATAACCCTTAAAAAGTCGTCCGTAGTTTACTTAAGCCGAATATAAAAATCATGTAAGGCATTTAATAGGCAGTAGCTATCGCTTTGACCGAGCGTTATAGAAATAAATATCAAGGCTCGTAAAAGTGTCACATTATCTAAAAGTGTCCTCAGGGAGTAGGCCCCGCGGCTATTATGATAATAGTCACTGGATGGATAGGAATATAAGCTATCGCCTGTTATCGAGTTCCAATTTTCCCCCCCCCCCCCATCTCCCCCTCCTCATCGTCCCATCCACCTTCACCTCTCGCGCAAGCATGTCGCATTTTTTTTATTTTACGCGCATCCTGTTAAAGTTTTTGCGGATTATCTTTGGCTTTGTATCTTTGGCTTTGGCCGTTATGATCCCCTCGGGAGGATTGCGCTCGATGGCGGAGAGAAGATTCGCGCTTCACAAGCGGGGCTTTTGCATATATTATGCGCGCTAAATGGACTCCGTTATTTCCGATTACCTTCCTGGCACACGAGATGAGATACTTTTAATCCAGTTGCGCGCCAACGCGTCGCTCTAAGGTTAACTTAACGTAACTGCCGGAGCGAAAGGACGCTGCGAAGAAATTAAGGATTTCTTAACTCCTTTGATGTATTATCGATTCTAAATATCGATTAATTAAAGGATAAGGGCTTTGGCCTTTTATCGGGCATTACCGTACTATCCTTACAATTGCGATGATTCATCCGCGTTCACGGATATCGCGTAAGAACATCTATGACTGCAATAGACGTATAGGGAATTTTGAAAAATTGCAAGCTATATTGTCACAGGGCAGAGTCAGTAATATATCTGGAATTAAAAGATATTTACTTAATCGGATGTAGACGTTATATTATTAAATGAATAAAACAGAGCTCGGGAAGGAAAAATTAAGAATCGTCAAGCAAAAGATATTTCGATTCAAAATAATAATATCTCAATAAAATGCTACGTTGATTCATAACGATTTGGCATGAGGATTTTAATAGATATATCGATAGATGTAATATTTAAAAGACAAATATAAATTTAATAAATAAATAAATAAATAAAACCCTGCTCTGTGTGAGATGCACGATATTTTATGTATTATATTACATTCGAATTGATTACATTAACATATGTCGAATTTATTTAAAGATACGATGTGATATTATAATACTGGAATTTTATCGAATATTTTGTAATCGAATGAAAGTCTGGTAATCCGTATAATCCCGTTGTGATATGATATTTGTACAATAACACCTAAACGCAAAATCAGTAGGTTTTACTTTACACGTACCTTGTCGCATACTGCGCCCACAACAAATGATCTGGCAGCGGAATAATCTACAAATTCTATTTACCATCTATTTACCTTCGTCAAAACGAATGAAAGCTTAAAAGAAAGAATAAACGAAGAAAAAAAGATAATAATAATAAGGACCTTTAAATATGCATTTCAGAACTGACGTGGATGCACCTGCAGGCGGTAAAGGTGGCACCCTAAAATTCATTCGAGCACTTACGAACTTGACCAAAGAGGCTGGCAGTGTCGTGCACATGAGATGCGAAATTGTCGGCGATCCACCGCCAACGAAAATTCGCTGGTTCAAGAACGAGGCGCCAGTCAACGAGGAGCCCGACAGGATCATAATCAAGAAGATCAATCCCCAGGTACGACATATCCTTAGCTCTTATTATTCATATATATATATATATATATATATATAATGCCTGTATGTAAACATTGCACTCGTATCCGTAATCTTAGCTTATCTAGCCAACTTCCTCGCCCTCGGCCCTAAGAACCGTCCTTCGCTTCTCGTAAATAAAAAGAGACAAATCAATCTCAATAATACAACGATAATTTTCTCTTCTTAAAAGCACATTCAAAATATCAATGTTTCTCAAACGAATGTTAATGACACGTGAGAATTGCACGTTTTCAAAGCTAAAGTAGCTTCTATCAATTATTACACCTCATATGTTGTACTCTTCGTGTTTAGAACCACGAACACGCGGCAAAGAATATCGCTGGAAGCCGCCTGAAAATTACTCGCTTAGACATGAACGATCGAGGATTTTACTCATGCCGCGCCAACAATGGCAAGGATTTTATCCAGAGCGAGGGAATACTTCAAGTCAGAGTGCCACGTCACGGTATGTAAATTCAACACTTATCATTCCAATGTCGCTGGAAACTAATGCGAAGGCTCAATCTATTAAATGAAAGAAGACAATTGAAGGAATCAACGAGCCGATGATATTCCCATTTTTGGCTAAATTTTTAAAGCCAAACATAATAATAATAATAAGTACATTCGAGAAAATTACGTATTGCTTGTCTAAGAATATTACTTGCCAGCAGCCTTCCCTACTCGCGCCGATGCGCTTTCGACGAAAGCTAACAAAACCTTATTTTCCTAAGATAATTCGTGCGTCTATACACCCTATACACGCCAACTACAAAAATGAGCGAACGAGAGAGCGCGTGAAAGGGATATATAACGCGCTCGGGAAATTCATTGTTTTACAACGACGGCGTCGCGCCTTCGCAATGCACATACACGGGCTCCCAATAATAATATTCACCTGGTGTATAAGCAACTTTATTAACCAACTCTAATCCCAACCAATACTTACCCCAACAATATAATACACCAAGCACCGCTTTCTCTCTCTCCCACATTCCCCCCCCCATTCCCCCCCCCCCCAATAAATTCAATATTTCATCGGAAAAAGTCCTATAATTCATCGAGAGCTGTTTTTCACTCTCGCGTCGACTCTTCCACCCACCCAGTCGGCCTACCACCACCCGCGCGAACTGCAATTATGAGGAAAAAACGCGTCTGACGGAACGGGTGGCCTGCACCGCCTCCTGATTAAGATGCGTCCGACGACCGTCAGAGAAGGAAAAAAAACGCGCAACTCGTAAATCACGGCTGCGCCAAGATCACGCGACCTCACTGTCGCAGGCTCGTCACGAACATCTCCCGAATTAAGAGGCCGTAAAGCCGTGGTACCGTGATATCGGCGTGGTCCTTTCCTACTACATCCATCCATCCATCCATCCATCCATCCATCCATCCATCCATCCATCCATCCATCCATCCATCCATCCATCCATCCATCCATCCATCCATCCATCCATCCATCCATCCATCCATCCATCCATCCATCCATCCATCCATCCATACATACATACATACATACTTTTGTTCCCCCCACCCCCTCTCTCTCTCTCTCTCTCTCTCCTCCTCCTCCTCCTCCTCCT